TTTGAGATGATAAACCTTCGAACACGTCGAGTGGAAACATTCTGTATAATTTCTTAAGTTCTTTGCATCATGTGGTTTGTTGGTCCAGTCACTGCCTGTAAACTCCTGCTCGTAGAAATGTACACACCAATTATTGAACTATATTTGTTTATAGTGTATTACAGTAATTGTGGGACAATTTCATATTTAAAGCAATAAAAGACTGGATAAAAATGCTGTGTTAAAAACATCGCTTTGTGCAGTTTACAATGTTTTCTCTGTAGTTTTAAGAATGTGTTACGATTGTTGAGATATTCTCTTTTCAGGCACTAAATATTTTACTTTGTATTAACAGTGTATCACCAAAGCACAAGTGCGGGAATGTTAAGCGAAGGGCTAGCTGGTTAGCCACACCAGGCACAGTAGCGTTAGCCACACTAGCATATATTCCTGCGGACGTTTGACCACGTACTAAATAACACCTGGATGGAAAAACCCTTTCATTTTTAATCAAACAATATTTTTCTACATATCAAATATTCAAACATTTAGGTTTTTGTTTTAACAAGTTATGAGAACAATCATTTAATCAACGTTGTTAACTTCAGTCTGTTCACATCACAGTCACATCTCTGACCCGATCATAAGAGTCGGTATGAACACGACACCACGATGTTTCCAACAAGTCATGAATTTAATAATTAGTCCTTCATGTTTGAAGCCTTTGAACAGAAACTCCTCATCGACTCGTTAGCATCAAGCCATAAACGCCGAAAGGCAAAACTGACAAGTTTGGATTAACAAGCGACTTCACGTAAACTGAAGGTTAGCACTGTCTGTGAAACGTCATTCTGTTTGAGCGAATATACGTGATAAATACTTGAATTGTTAATGAGCTTCAAGGTCTCAGAGTGGGCCCCTGAATACTGCTGATAATATTCATAGCTAGAGTAGAAAGTGTTATAGCTACTGCACTTCATCCTGTATGTGACGCACACAGAAAACTATCATGGATAATGGTTACAACCAGTAGTGAAACAATAATTTCAGTTTTGATTATTCAGATCTCATTTTATCCAATTTCCCTTAAAGCTATGATTGGTAATCCGAGAGCTGCGAGCAGGAACAGGCTATACTTTGAATCCCTCCCCCTCTCGTCGACCCCCTCATCAAAGCTCCTCCACCAAAACACTCGACCGGTCGCTGACAACTGCTCGAAGACGACTGTCGCTCGCTCATTTCTGGCTATCATTGAGTCATGTGACTGACTCATGTGACTGATAAGAACCAATCGGCGAGTCAAAAGGTCTCAGTTTCTGTTTGTCCAGACTAAAACACAAACCTGGAGGTTTCAAAATTTTACCAGGACTCTAAATTCTAGTGACGCTAATGTTTCAAGAAAAATGTCCTGAACTTCAGAGAACTTTGGGGTTTCCACATGTGGGTTGTTGAATATTCATCAGAAGTAAAGACGCTGACAAAGAAATTAAAAAAGAAATGAGCAGTAGGTCGTCCTGTATGTGGGTTTTCCCAGTTGGTCGTGGCAGTGGAAGATCGTCAACGACTCAAGTGCCCTTTTGCAAGGCAGTGAAAAGGAACAAGGTTGAACACTCAAGGAACTTGGGTTCTGGAGTGAAGATGATAAGAGCAGCTACCACTGTTCACGCAGTCCTGCATGCAAAAGCCACGAAGAAGACGACTCCACACAATACACAAAAAATACTGGATTTAGCACGGAAAGAAAAAACAAGCATCTTTTCCTCTGAACACTGAAACAAGTTGAAAATACAATAACCTGGAGAAGGGTCCTGTTCAGTGCAACTGGTTGTGTTAGCATATCGCTGCTGTCGGGTAAACCGTGAAACCCAGAGGTTTCCTTCTCTTTAATTGAGCTGACGTGTTGAATGAACGTCCACGAGATCATTTCAAGACGATAATTCTCATCTGGGAAAAATCCACTTATTGCAGATACGGCTTCACTCCACAGACACACTCTAACTAAACTTCACCGTCGCTCAAACCTTTGGCTGCTTCATGCATTCAGCCACCGAGACGAGAATCGACTCAGAGAGGCAGAGAACAAGTACGTTAGAAGAAGCATGAGAAAGAGTACGAGATATCCTCTACAAACAGAGGGTCTGATGACCGCCTGCAGCTCATGGGTTAGTGGTTTCTATTCAGTTTGGAGCCATGCTAAAAGGCAGTGCTAGCCAAGAGAGGAGGCAAGGAAGGAAGGAGGGAAGGAAGGAAGGAAGGAGGGAATGTCCATTTCTGGGACATTTCTTGAAAAGCACAGGAAGGCAAGTCATGGTAGAAAAGACAGAATCACTGGATGGAAGGAAACCTGTCAGGCGGTTGAAGTGACGAGCAGGAGTTTGTGCTGGTTTGATCGTGACAGAGAAACAAGTGGAAACACACACAGACACAATCATGCACCAACGTAAACACCGTGTCTTATTTGTAAGTCTCGTTGGTTTCCATCGCTGCGCGGTCGAGGAATGTGCTGTGAACGATCATCATCTCTTCGTTGTCTCAATCGCTCTCTCCTGCAACTCTCAACCTAATACCCCYCCCCCCCCCCCTTCTCCTCCAATCACCGTCCTGCCGCCTTGTCTCTTCTCGTCCACCCCACCTCAGGCTCTTCTCTCGGTTCGGTCCACTTTGTGAAAGCAGGATGGCACAGAAGCACAGAAGAAGAAGAGGGACGTGGTTTGTCTATTATACAAATACAGGCTGTTTTGTTCTGGATTGGACGAGGGGGGGGGGGCAGGTCACTGCCACGTCCTAATGAGGGAGCGGCACCAGGATATCCACGTAGTTGATGGGAAAGAAGCCCGACTGGCCGTGTGTCATGCCTTCGTACCAGTTGTCGTCGATCTGATTGGTCAGGGTGATGACGTCGCCCTCTTTGAAGCCCAGCTCGCCCTCGTTCTCTGGCTCGAAGTCGTAGAGTGCTCGGCAGCAGGGCTGGTCCATGGGGGCTGTGAAGGACAGGAAGTACAGGAGAGGTTGACACCCCCGCACTTCGTATGATTACTGGAAAACTACTGAACCACTTCCAGTGAGATTAGAGATCTGCAGCTCATCGCCGAGGATTCGTCATGTTGGAATTATTACCTCCATTAAGGGGGTTGTGTTTGTCGCCCGTGTTCGTTGGTGTGTTTGATTCACAGACGCTGTGACTGCGTCTGTATCGGTTTTTGTTTTGTTTCTGTCAAGCTCCCATTTGCTAGAACCCCTTCAGTAACCCCCCCCCCCCCCCCCCCCCACCTACCGGGTGATCTTCCGGGGGATTTGGCCGAGTGTATCCCCCCGTTGTGGCTCTGACTGGGGGGCAGCAGCTCCAGGGTCAGGCGGGGTTTGGGAGCGTACTCCTTCCTGGGTTTACTGGACACTTCCTTTATCCTGAACAAACACAGACACCGTTTTTTAAAACAAGGTTCGTCTCATCACATGAATTTATTTTGATCTTTGGGAGGAAGAGGAGTTCACACCTGTCCTCCATCTTGCTGGAGAGCTGCTGCAGGATTTCTGCTGCTCGGCTGTGATACTCCAACTGAGCCTGGACCAGAGCTGCCAGCTGGCTCACCTGCTCTATCTGCAACACACACACAGACACACACAGACACACCCACACACACACACACACACACACACACACACATAACTATAGCAGCAGCAGACATGATGAATATTGTGACGATCGATCAAAAAGCTATGATGAGAATGACACAAAAACAGAACGAGGGTCGAGACTTTCACCACATTTTGGTGTTGATGCTTTAAGAGCAGCTGATCCAGGACTCAGTGTCAGATGTACAACAACAACAACAACAACAATAATAACAACAACAACAACAACAACAACAATAATAATAATAATAATAATAATAACAACAACAACAACAACAATAATAATAATAACAACAACAATAATAATAATAATAACAATAACAACAATAATAACAACAACAATGATAATAATAACAACAATAATAATAATCCTATTTGTGCACAAACCCACTTGTCTACATGTACGACAACTGAAGACGTCACACTGAAGCTGTAACTTAATGTAATGATGATCATAGTCCCCACATGTTCCTGTTACACACACTGTCTACACAACATGTCTACACAACATGACTACACAACATG